TGTCTGAAATCCCACGTGATCTGTCAAATACTAATGCATGAAAATCCTAACCTCAAAAAAATCACCCGTTACATATATATATACAAATTTATATAGACAGTGCCAGCCATTTAAGAGGCAAATACCATGGTGTATATATATATGTATTTATGTTGCTTTTCATATGGGCATGAAATTTGATCGGCTAAGCGCGTGGCCATCGGTGAGTAAGTCTCCATTTACTCCACTGCGTTTGGCGGCTGTAAGGCTGTCACTTTTGATATTGTCCCCTATTCATTCGAGAGCTCGTGGTGTGTTTTTTTTTCGTTATATGATGCCCGTTGCAGGATCCTTCCTACATAATGTACCAGGTGTGATAATGTGTCGAAAGTGATCAGAGTAGTCATATCATCTTACCTTTGACCCTATGTTGTGTCTGACTCGTACGTATGTACATATGTATGTATTTGAGTGGCAGAGTGTGCCGTTTAATTAAAAGTTTATCTGAAAAAAGTGTTGCACAAATATACCACCTAAGTGGCTAATTGATATGAGGAACACCCATCAAGAATTATTATTTTTTTTATACTAAGCTTGTACGTGCTTTTTTTTGTTGTATTTTTTGCACTTATATTGGAGCTTCATCAGCCAATCGATGTCGTTGAAAGGTTACCAAACTCTTGACCTATTTCTAAGCATCTTAAAAAGACTGAAAGAGCCTTTCAGAATGTCTAAGTAAGCGTTAAAAATCGCGGAGTGATTTTTAACTTTCCGAGTTGATGTTTTTTATGGGTTATGATGCTAAACCACTCAAGGACCCTTGTGGTGTAAATAAGGGGATACGCAAAAGGAGGTATATACAGCTAGCTGACTGTGCTGTCTCGTTCATTTTTCGCATCCGTATTACTTAAATTTTTGCTTCCGAAAAACGTTCAAAACCCGTGCCGTTTTCGTACCCGGCAACGTACGAAAAATGAATTCAATAATAAAAATTAATTAATATTTTCTTATCCAAAAAATTATCCGAATTATGAAAAAGCATCTGTGAAGTGCAAAAAACAGCACAAAAAAATAAGCGTTTCACACTCATTTTCGGCACTTTTCTGTACACACGTTTCTGCCGCACACTTTATTGGAAAAACGGAACGTCAAAGTATCCAAAAATTCCTTTTTCGGATCTATTTTCGGTTTTTTTTTGTTGGCTGGGTAACTAGACACCTATCAACTACATCCGGATTCCGGAAGATTGAAAAGGAATATTCCGTAAAAAGAAAATGGGAACCGACAAAGGTTTTGCTGGCCTAATTTGCTTTAATCTTTGTTATATGAGTAGGGAGGTTTCTTGCCCTTGGAAGATTTCTTAGAGATTTTTCATTAGTCGATCAACTATAGAATAAAAAAAAAAACTATCTACATATACGGGGTTCCCGGTAAAGTCGTCCTGGATACCTAAGGAGATTATTAGTGGGATCATTTTTGATTAATTAGGCTATACGGCATGATAAACAAAACCTAAACATTTGCGAGATACTCAATTATTAAAAAAAAATCCTTGTTCGTCCACTTTCTTTTAAGAGTCCTATGATCAGCAATACCCTAACTTGAAGCAATCCCGGCCAGTTAAAAATGGTGGTTCTTAAAAAATTTTTTAGTTTACGATTTTTCACTAAATGCTTCCGAAGTATCTTACATCATTAAAAAACAAAATTTTGTATGCAAACTATTCTGGAAAATATTTTAAAAGCTAGTATACCTTTTCAGCAATCAATAATAAATAATATTTAAACTAAAGAAGTAATCCGTAAGCGGATTGCGGGCTCAACTAGTGGAGGGTAAAATTTCATAAGTAGAAAAATAAGTTTAAATATACGTGACTTAAAAAAAAGGAAGTTTTTTTATTCATTATAATTGGTTCTCAACATAATACAAATTCCCATTCTTTTCCTTAAATTACTTTCACGTCGCAGCTTCTAAGATGCCGCGTCTGGTATCTTTTGTTTTAGGATATCCACATTATATTTAGATCGGAGTCATCTGATTGTATTATAAAAACTTATTTCGAGATAGGCCATTTTCCCTTTAAAGCAATGTCATTGAGTTCCCAAATTATATCTTGATGATTAACTAGCCATAGGTACACCCTATAATGCCCTTTAATTACATAGCGCCATTTTCACAGTCATTAGTTAACTACTATGCTTATGCAAAACCACGATTTTTTCAGTTTGACTGATGGTTGACTGCAGTTAACTAATGTACATCCATTACTTAACTAATAGTTAAATTGTAGTAGTTAACTAATGACTGGAAAAATTGCCCATAGAAGCTTAATAAAAATATAACATTTTTCCATTTTTTTTTTGTAACTCAAAGCCAATCCTTCTAAAACCACTTAAGTTGTTTTAACAAAATGGCAGAGAATACGCCTTTAACATAAAATATTTTAATCAATTTTTGAAGTTCATTAAATACTTCTTTCGTATTATTTTCTTGAATGGAAATGATAAACTGAAATGCATAAAATTTACATATACACGAATGGAAATAAATGATTAAGTAGCTCTTCGAAAATTCCCACAACATTCTATCATTTCATACCAATGACCACATGTGAATAGGCTTAGATGGTCAAAATATCAACCTTCAAGAATTCATATCCTTCCATTCATACTGTGGGAATATCGCATAATTCAAATTTCACATTCAAAATCTTATACATACTTATGTACGGATGTATGTACATAAGTATGTATGCACACATTCAGATGGATGCTTCCACAAATGCCCTTACATTATCCGACTTACTCTCATATGCATATTTATTGCATTTTTTCGTTGCGGTAACGCCCCCATATTCGCAATGGAATTTCAAGTTCACTATATGTACGCATAACATAGCCGTGGCTTAAATGCAATCGCATTAACTTAGGTTGATTTTTCAATTCTGGACTTCTTATGCATACAGCAGTAAACTCACAAGGTATACTGACAGATGTATGTACATAGAAGGATTCTTACAAAGTTTTTTTTTCATGCTTTTAACTTTTGGTTTGATTAGATTTAGGCTTCTCCTTCTTCGACTAATTAAAAATTCCGCGCTGTATGGGTCCCATACCTAAAGGAAAAAAAAACACTTATTGCAAATTTCTTGAATATCCGTATACTCGTACACAGTATGCACATTAGACCACGTCAGTAAAAAAACTTAAAAAATCCTGCAATGCAACCCGATTAAGACTCAAATTTTAGCATGTGGTATAGCAATGATCCTTCATGAATCTCCCCCCACTAGGACAATTCTAAAAGGTCGCGCATCGAGCCTTTATTTTTCCCATAGCTACAGGAAAGTGAGGAAAGCTTATGGGCTTGTGACGTCTACTACAGCTGACACGTTAAGGACCGAAAATTCGCTTTTGGATTTCTGGTAAAAGAGAGACTCCGTCGCCGAACACTGTCATTCACCGCGGTGGACGATCGTCTAGCCATAATCCGCACCAAAGCGATATTCTTCAATATCTCGCTCATCTGCGCCCACGCAACGACGGAAGAGAAAGACGAGGCGTCCACGGATAGCTTTTATGAGCGCTCGTGCTTGGGCGATTTCAATACCAGGGTGGGAAAGGAAGGGATCTTTGGAACCACCGACGCAGGATTCAGCCTCCACGATGGAACGTCCGATAACGGACTGAGCCTGATCGACATCGCCGTGGGCCGAAACTTGTTAGTATGTAGGTCCAAGCATAAAAAGACTCATCAAGCTACGTGGCTGTCTCCGTTTCGGAAAAAGAGAAACTCAATCGATCTTGTTGTGATAGACGTTAGTACACTCCAGTTACAGTGCCAATGAAGAAGAAGAACTCAATCAAAACTAGCGTTATACTCTTCCCTAAAAGACAAGGTTGAGTGGATTTGTTCCTTCGGCCTATTACTTTGTGGAGTATTTAATTGTGATCCTACATGGTAAATCTCCACTAAAGTGTCACATTGAACGAAAGACCTCCGAAGCCTTAACAGTGGTCTGACAAAGAGGTCTTTAACAAAGCGCTTTTTTTCTTTACAACGCTCTCAAAAGGTGTATTTTTTGTAACATATCCCAATATTGCCACTGCAGCGAAAAACATATGGGGAGATTTATNAAGCCTCCAACATATCCCAATATTGCCACTGCAGCGAAAAACATATGGGGAGATTTATTTAGCAACTTTTTGTGAATATTTTTATTCGGCAAAACAAGCAAAACTTTTTGATTTCTAGTCTTTTCCATATTATTTAGTGCTAAAAATCCTCCTTGGATGGACTCCTCTCCATATTGGCAGACAGAGCGGGTACAGGTATCTTTGGACCTAGCACCAAATTTGCAATTCCCATGGGCAAATGGCGCACGGTGTTTCAGGCTCAAATAGTCGCAATCTTAAACTGCGCAAAATTAAACCTTGAAAAG